GTTGGTGATCTACATCTGCTTAGTCCGTTTAAAGTAGGTATAGAAAATACAATTAATCTATTATTTGTCGTTATCATCTACGCATGATTTCAGCTGTTCACTACATTGGACAATGGAATCGATTAAATTAGACTATCCTATATTAATAATCAGTCAGTAGATAAAAATTACCGCAAATGATAAACTCCTTTTACGGTTCATAGTGAAATAGATTTCTGATTTCCTTTCAACGTAACTCTAAAACTGTTTGATCTTTGATCGATTAAGAGTCGGTCGTTAGTTAAAAAATATGTTCGACCTTAAGGTACAGAACTGCTGACCTAAGTTCCTAGAGACGATCTCGATTTCTTTGAAAGATATCAAACCATAATAAAATTTAAAAAAAACTGTGTATCACCATCCCGTCCCAAACTATGACTAAGTATTTCTGCTCTTAATGATCGAATATGATCTTGGAAACAAATAAAAATCTGGATTATCTATAAGGAGACTTAGCTACGTAAGTTACAAAAGCCAATATGAAAGTTAAAAAACAAATTCATGTTAATCAAACTAAATAGCTGTTTCAAAAACCACCATCAACGAGTTTCTCTAACGGCATAATCCACTACAATTTTACGACAAGTCAAAATCCCGTGATTTCGAATAATGATAGGGCTTCAGATCATTTAATTGACATTGTAGATGGATTCGAGTCTCGATTGACTATGATCACCACTACAGTAAGATCGCGTGACAAAATCGACTTGGTTCCTTTGATAGCTCGTGAACCAGAAGGCTGTAATTAGTTCAGATACAGTATATTTATTGGCGATCTCGTGGTAACGAAAGAATTCCGAGACGTGTCAACGAGTACAGGCAATAAGGGCAAAGAGTAAGATAGTTCGAGCGGACAAGATAGACAAACGAACGAAAATTGATTTTTCAACAGTTAAACAATGAGTACAGCAAAACAATCACTGGTACAATTGGTTATAATAATAATTGTTTCCATTATACCAATCGCGTTCTCATCGAGAAAAGGAGGTCACTACAACATAATCATGACGAGTATATAAGATGATGAACGTAGAGATGAAATTTCTCAATTAGTCTAACACAGCGAAGTTTGGACTCTGTTTGAACATTCAAGAAGTCGCTCTCTGTTCTCATTAGCTTCATATCTTGTAATTTTGGCGAACATTACTCTATACATAGTCTAAATGCTTTGGGGCATCTACGAAAGGTTATTTTCTCATTTGAATGCGAGCAGATGAACAAATTGATCTTCGACACTAAGAAGGTGTGAATAAAACAAGGAGGAAACGATCAGATCAAACGTTCATCTGAAAATTACTTTTTTTTATTAGACTTATGCCAAGCATAGCTTGACCTTAAGAAGCCTGATTTCTAGGATATCACTGGAGAGAGACTTCGGTAAGACCTATGTTATTTGACATGAGTTTTAGAAATGTAACGTTATTGTCACAATTGTACAATAAATTAAAATGGTTATATCCTGGTATAATTAAAATATTTTACTTATTCATTGCCTCATACGTGTAGTGGAGATGAGTGATTATTTCTACAAACCTTGTACATCAAACAACTAGCTTGATCTTACCTTCACAATTGGGATCAATATATCAAATTAGGGAGTCAAGAAACGAATTCGCTTCGAAAGAAATGTTTGAATGAACAGGGAAAACAATTGAAGCCGTTACAAACATAATATTTAGTAAACGGATTTCTTCAACGAATTTATTATCAAGCTCTATGAAAACACATCCTAGTGTGGTTTTACAAGAGTGAAACGAAAGCAGTTAGAAGTTCCATTCTTGAACATTTGTTCGATTACAATCACTCCACTGATCTACAGGTTGACCTTACTTCTGTTTATACAATTTGTCTGAGTCTATCTAGATTTTTTCTTATCCGACTTCTTAAAACAGCAGAAACTTTTTAGCATCAGTGAGATGAAGCTAAGACTGTACGTCTTATCCCTATCTTTTTCATGGCCTTAAATCAGTGTTATTGTTATATCCTCCGGTGAATTACTAATGTTAACTTTTAGGTCTATTTATCGACCAATGTATTATGCCTATTTCCTATTGTACAATTGTTGCGTAACTAAACTATTCATATTCGTGTTTCTCTTATCATGAGCTTTATTTTGATCTTTGATTTATTATCATACGATTCTTGAGTTATACTCAGTTATTGATTACTTTGGTTTGTATAAAAACTCAGTATGTTTGTAAATAATGATTCATACTACTGAGGCTGTTATTGGTGTTTTGGACTTAACTGGCTGGGCTAGGCAGATCGCAGGACCGGTTAGCACTATAGTCTTCTCGTACGGGTTTCATGTCACTGTTCAAACCGGTAATCCGCTGCTCCCTGTTTGGCGGTCTTATCGCGTCACACATCAAGTAGGCATCCACTCGGCCACAAGCATAACAATTGGCGACGGGGACAAAAAAAGGTCAGTTTGTAATTGATCGAAAATCAGGCAATCATTTGGTGCAATCAGCATCCGACATTCTTACATCCAACATTTCTTACATCACTTCGTATCATTTAACCCTTTGTAGACCATCAACGTTCATGATCTATGTCGAATGATTGGCGGCCTACTCGAGTTAGACGAGAACGGTGTAACGAACAAGCTAACTTCGAAGTCATACCTCGCGATCAGCACCATACGTGTATTGCCCCATCGACGTACCAAGGGACCATGGATGCTCTGAAGACTGTACAACACAAAGGACGTTATTACAGGAATATATTAGTTAAAATAGATACAAGCGAAGGTAGAATCACTGCTGCATGGGCTAGTCTATGGAGTATGATTAACTGATGCGCGTTGATTGCCCTTGACCTTGACGGGGATCGATGATCTGTTCGATATTTAGTAACTCAACTCTCGGATGATTTGGCTAGGGTTAAGTGACATTTCACTGGCCCTACAAAATATAACAACTGTCATCAAACAGTACGGGTATTTATAGTCAATTATCTACGTAAGATACTCAATGTCCGTTGGTTGGATACTCCAGATCCTATATCCTTATACTATCAGCAACAACGTACTGTAAAAGAGAACAAATCAACTTCCAGCCGACTAAAAATTAGGGAAACACTCTGGAGTTCAATAAGATACAGTTTAGAAACCATCAAACTGTATCAAAAAACAAGCTGTAAATTGGAATTATGTATATAGAATTCCGTTTACAGTTTATTAAAAACGTTTATGAATATTTTAGGACTGGGGAAACAGGGTTAACATTTTCACTTCATTTTGTCGTTGAAAATATTCAAATATTATTGTCTGATTTAATGGGTACATTATTAATGCAGAAACAAACGGATGTCACTGTTGTATTAGTTGAAAAAATTGCATACTAACCAAATAAAATAATAATAATGGTTTATTGCATAAATCAAGTGTATTATACTAAGGTTCATCTTAGTACTACTGCCTTTCATTTTTAACTGTAAATTGTCAATTCAATTGCCTTGGAAATGTCACTAACAGTCTTGCTTGATTTGTATAATGATTGTGTTTTTAATCTAAAAATTCAGTATTTATTATATTCGAAATGTGACTAGTAATGAAGTGTAAGACGTGTTGTCGTCACTGGTATTGTGTCAAGCCCACATAGGCTATTCTAACTTCTGGACAGATCAATTTATCCATTCTTTTTTGGGTCACATTTTGACCTTGTCAATTACTCTCTTGTTGATCTTGACTGTTTTTCTATGAGAATGTGTGTTAATCTCCTACCCTATTCAACACATGCCTATAACTTAATTTCCTTTGACTATATCCTACTAGATACTAAGCTACAGTAGGTTCATCCTTCATGGAATTATCAGATAGGGTTGGAACTTTTCCACTGCCGATGTTTTGAACTGTATATAAACACTCTATGCTGGTAGGTGTTTGTGTCTTCAGTATATTCCCCCGACGTAAGTACAGGTAACTTACAGGACCTACTAATGGACGATTATTCTATATATATTCTTATTGCTTAACCATTGTGTAATTAGATTGTGTATATCTATATTTATCTTATAATCAGAAGTGGTTTTGTGGAGATTTAGTATTTTCATAGTTGAAATCATGAATCGATTGAAGTTACACCACCATGGTAAACCCGGAAGCACTGAACGGTCGTTTCGTCCTATTGTGGAACTCCTCAGCAGTGCCCATCCATGATCGCTCACCCGCGAGATTCGAACCTAGGACCTACCAGCTACGCGCCGGAGCACTTAACCGATAGACCACTGAGCTGGCCGGCATCGAACAGTGTTAATGTCTAATTTCAACTGATCCACGAAGTTGAGCAACCGTTCACCAATTGTCTTCAGTGAATTGATATCTCACAACAGACGTGGTTTGAACTCCACTGGTCACTGCTTCTCACAAGAACTCCAGTACATGTATCTTGAAGTCAGTCACTAGTGAGCATATGATTATTATTATTATTATCAGAAGGGGTTTTTGTGGAGATTTAGTATTTTTATAGTTGAAAGCGTGTGTCAAGTGAAGCTATACCACCATGAAAAACCTATGGATTTTTATTATGCGAATTACTGTTCCCAAATTATGTTCAGTTTATTGATTACTATCTTCTACGTTCACAGCCACATTTAGCTTGATCTTGTACAAATATTATTTTATATTTTTTATGGTGTGATGCAGTCTCTCTGTCTGGTATATAAACCAAGTATGCTTGAAATAAATGATTTGCATAACAGAAGATGTAATTGTTGTTCTGGACTCAATTGTAAGGGCTAGGCGGACAAAGGACCAATAAGGATGATAGACTGCTCATATTGGTCGAACGTCATTGATTTTGGCACAGTGCTAAGACTAGACAAGTCGTATTCCGATTGGTGGATAATTCACGTGATAAAAGCCTGACATAAGACCGCAACATATTGGCATACGGCCAATTCGTAACAGTAATTTATAACCTTTTATTGAATAAAATAATAATAATAATACATAGTGATGAGAACAATTTTGTTTATTTCCAATACATTTATTCATGTAAACGATCAATATTGTTAATAAAGTTCTATGTTAATACTTTTAGTTGCTACTCATTCTTCTTTTTTTTACAATAGTTAGTAGTATCTGTAGTACAACATGGATAAATTTTTACTATTAAAAATAAGATAAACTTGCACGTTTTTCTGAATCCAAATTCTCATCATCATTATTATTAATAGTAGTATGTTTATTAAGTAGTAGATTATCTTCAAGCCAATGTAAATAATCTTTATTTAAACAAGGACAAATTTCAATAATTTGTCTAATATGATGTATTCCATCAAATCGTTGATCATATTGACCACGTTTAAAATAGGATAAACTTGCACGTTTAGATGATGATGATGATGGTGATGATGATAATGAAGATGGAGAATCGGATAATTCACTACGACGTTTAAAATATGCTAAACTTGCACGTTTATCGTATGTATCTGTATTCTAAAGAAAATAAAATTAGGAACATGATTTATATTCAATACAAAATGATTGGACAATAATTCACAGTGAATATATAAGAACTTTCGTCTAAATTAAACGAATAGTTTCAGTGTTTGGGCGCCGAGTTGATGTAAGACATTAAATAGGAAGAAGAATATATTTGTAAAATTTTAGCGAATGAATTTGAAGTAAATCCAACGTTCCGCCTGACAATCTGGTCTAAGCTTATTCAAGGAACTATAATGGGAACATGTACCGCCAGAATTACCTTCATCCTGAGAAGATATAAAGCTTGGACTAGATTGCCAGGCAAAACGTTGGATTTACTTTAAATTCATTCGCTGAGATTTTACAAACATATATTATTCCTATTTAATAAAAATGTTACAAGTAATATAATTGTATAAATATCTATCAAATGAAGTCTTCTATTAAGGGAATGATTGATCATAGTCTATAAAATCATGATTTAGCATTGGTATATCATCATTCTATTCAATGTTTAGTGCACTATTTCTTTACAACAGTCATCTTGTTTATTTTCACTTGTTAACGTTGAAATCGTGGATGCGCACTACTGAGGAGTCCCATAATAGGACAAAACGGCCGTCCAGTGCTTCCAGGTTTTCCATGGTTGTCTAGCTTCAATTGACTCATGATTTCAACTATGAAAATGCTAAAATCTCCACAAAACCCTTTCTGATCTACCGTTGAAATTGTCCTTTATTGTAATATAATGATCAATTTTTTTCAAAGATATGAATTTTAGTCATATCATGTAGTTAGTTATATAATAATTATGGAAATACCAGAATATTTTGCTTTAAGGCTGTAAACCATAATTTGATACTGATATCTATCAGAAGAGGCAGAAGATAAGTAGACAATCATTTCTAAGCAAAGCAGGATAGTGGCTAGCGGTGGGATCCAGGACGCGCGTATCATCCTATTCGGGACTCGCCAGCTGGATGTATCTATCGCTCCAAACTCCATCGCGTTATCCACTCAGCTACCACTTGCTTATAATGCTTGTGAATTAAGACGATATCGAGGCAATATGCACAGTATGCACATATTCCAATAAGAGACTGACCAGTTGCAGTCGTAAAAACATCAATGTGAAGATCCAAACAAACAATACTAAGTAAATTTCAACTTCACCCCATTGCACAAGCAAGTGGTTATCAGGACTCAGTAGATGAGTGAATAATGCGATGGCATTTGAAGAGAATGGTACTGGGTTCAAGTCCCAGAGTGAACATCAACTCTGAGGTGCAGGTACATCCATCTGATGAGTCCCAAATAGGACGAAACACTCATCCTGGATTCTACTGCTAGCCACCATCCATCTTTGCTTTCCATGCTTGTGAATTTAGGCTATATCGAGGCAATATGCACAGTATGCACATATTCCAATAAGAGAATGACCAGTTGCAGTCGTAAAAACATCAATGGGAAGATTCAAACAATTAATACTGGGTGAATTTAATAATTTCTAAGCATGATTGGAAACTTTTTAATTAATCAGAAAGATAATTGAACATAATTAGTGATTTTAATTAATCGGCATTGTGCATAGTACTTTCATGCTTTACAAAGGGTTCAATAACGCTTTATTTGAACCATGATTTGTCGAATAGATTGTAAAATTTAGCTGTAGATCTCAATACCTTTCTTTTATCTTTCAAAAAGCATTATCAAAACTAGTAATGTAACATTACTATATATTTGTTTACAAAAGTATCATATCCTCATAAGTTAAAGATAATAATAATAACGTTCATCTTCATTTCATCACTTGATGTACTCAACTCTTGTTAACCCGCTACGTCTAAACAACCAATTAGTGCAACACTTTGAAATTTCGAATGAATATGATAGTCAGAACTTAGTTTTATTGGTTAGTAAGTAACCTACTCAACCAATAATCACTTACCATTTAAATGATATTCATTCATGTCTATCTTTGTATTTGAATGTTATGCATATAGATATGTCATTTTACTGTATGAAATGACCTTTATTACTGTTATATCCCGTGGAGATATATGAATGGTAACTGTGAGAACTATTTATGGACCAATATGATATGTATATTTCCTATTGCATAATTGTTAAGTAACTAAACTATACGTATTCGTGTTTCTCTTATTATAAGCTTTATTTTGACCTATAGACTATGACTATACGATTTACCATTCTTGATTTATCCCTAGTCAACTAATTACTGTTCCCCGTATTCACAGCCACAGATGGCCAAATCTTGTACAAATGTCATTTTCTTGTTTATGGTACGACGTGGTCAGTTTGTTTAGTTTATAAACCCAATATGTTTGAGAATAATGATTCATATTGCACAGGCTGTTATTGGTGTTCTGAACTTAACTGGCTGGGCTAGGCAGATAGCAGGACTGATAAGTACTCGAGACTGCTCATACAATTTTCGTGTATCATAATTTCGATCGATAAATCTTTCCTCTCTAATAGGCGGTCTCATAACGTCATATATATCAACTGGGCAAGCACGCACTCAATGGATATAACAACTAGCGATGGGGATGGGATACTTGTAATTCACCAGAAGCAGAATTTTGTTGGGACATGCATAATTTCTGCATAAGGGCTTCCATTATTCTGATGTGAGACTGTTCAAGCCGCTTTCCTTGGCACTCAATATAAGCTTCTAGTTTCTCCAAAGAAATAGTCATTGTAGTTTCTCCCGTCGCCACAGATAAGTCTCGTTGATTGAACGCTATAGTCGGATCCTAAGTCAGTCTCGTAACCCGTAAGTCAGAACTACACAGTGACTTGGACACGAGAGAAAGAGGTGCAAAATATACGAGAAGCACTTTACTAAGCAATTGTTCTACATTCTGATGTCAGTTTGTTAAAGATTTTCGAGTTAAGAAGTCAGTTTTCTGAGTAGCTTGTAAATCGACAGTATTAATCAAGTCAATCAGGTCAATTGGTCTCCACAACCCATTTATAAGCAAACAAATATTTACATTTTTAACAGTTAGATTACTATTTCATCTCACCAATGTGTGAAACAGTTTAATATTTTGTTTCAGTGTGATTTCGAAATTTCTGAATATTAAATTAAGGTATCATATTCATCACTTTATTCAAGTATACAAATGATAAACAACCTTATATAAAAGGTCATTACGCAACATAATTGTTTTCAAATTACATAGACTCACAAATAGTACCAAAGAAAATAACCTCATTACTAATGAAATATCAGGTTAACTTATAATTGATTGTTTTGTAACACTCAGAGGGTCCTCGTTTGAAAATTTGTAGTAATGATACTCGTCTATCGTTACATTGTAACCATATGGGCTATAATTGGAGAAAATATTTACTATTATCAGAAGGGGTTTTTTGTGGAGATTTATTATTTTCATAGTTGAAAGAGTCAGTCAGTTGAAGCTAGACCACCAAGGAAAAACTGGAAACACTGGACGACCGTTTCGTCCTATTATGGGACACCTCAGCAGTGCGCGTCTACGATACCGCCTCGCGAGACATAAACTTAGAACCTACCAGTCTCTCGTCAGAGCATCTAACCGATAGGCCTTTGAGCCGGCATTCAGTGGTATTAATGTCTAACCTCAACCAACCCACGAAAGTGAGCGACCAACTTCCATAGTACTGAGGTAGATACCTGTCTCTACTTGACATGGATTAGCTCCACTGGCCACGACTTCTCACTAGAACTCCAGAAATTACCTCATGGAGCCAGTCACTAATGAGCATATGTTCGAATCCCACGAGGCGGGATGGTGGATGCGCACTACTGAGGAACCACCCAATAGGACGAAATTGCCGTCCCGTGCTTCCAGGTTTTCTATGATGGTATAGCTTCAATTGACTGAAGATCTAAGCTATATAAAATTACTAAAAAATCTCCACAAAACCCCCTTGTGAAAACAGAATCACACATGTAGTTAACATTTCAATTTTTGTAACCGATCAAAAAAAGGGATATGTTAAAAAAGTAATTTCAATCAGTAAAGAAATTCCGGTATATAATAGTAAGCTCACTAACTATAATTTAGTTACTATCTAATAAAAATAAATCAACAATTGAATAATACTTCCGGAAAAGGAGGATTATTTGAAAAACGGCCTAGTTACTGATGTGTTTTTTTTGGTATCTGTGTGTGTGTGTGTGGGTAAAAGAGTGACATTATCATTTATCATTGATTTCAGTATTATATAAACTCATGATTAGCTAAGTGTGGAACTAGATATACTACTTTTTTTTCGTTTTTTATTAATATTTTGATATATATCTATTAATTATCAGTAGTATTTCTATGTAATTAAACAAAGAAATATGAACATGCCAATGAAATGATACAACTTCCGTTATTTTTCCCTCAGGTAAAGATTTATTTTTTTCAAACATAATAAATGAATGATAAGATAGTGGAGATGATTTATAGCTCAAGTGGAGGATTTTGATGGAGTTTTGTTCGCTGAGCTGGATGGTTTAACTGTTAAGATTTCATTGTTGTTCATCATCATTATCAACTTCAGACTTCTACCTAAAGTTTATATTTATGATGTCGTTTAGAAGAATGATGAAAACTCCACGACCAAACCATCCAGTTCATAGAACGAACCTTCATAGATGAATGATATTTTCTTAGAAAGATATTCTATATGATCAGTCAGTCAGCCAGTCACAACGTAGAACTTCGTACGTACGTACATCAGTTCGAGTTGCCATACCACATTAGCACAGAGATGCAGTTGTCGATTCAAATCCCATAGTGGTAGAAGTAGTAGGAGTATAGTCAGAAATCGAAAAGATTAGGGTTTGAAGAAATTATTGAAGGGGTATAGTACAGTGAAATAAATTTGGAAAGAGTAAAAAAGATAAGGACATGAAGAATTCAGAAGATTAGAATTTGGTAGAACACAAAGAGTGGATGCATCTTCGCCATTGCAAACGATTTTGAACCATATCATTCAAGGTCTCTAACCAT